TTGGTACCCGGGATTGAACTCAGGTCCTTGTGCTTGTGAGGCAGGCACCAGAAAGAACCACTGAGCTAAATCTCCGGCCCATGGCTGATGATTTTACAATGTAGAGTATTTTTCTCTGTTCCGTATGTTCAGGTGTTAATATTCTGTTCCATTTTGCATTGTTTTATTTGAATTAAAAACTGTGAAAATAATGATTATTTGTTTATTGGGTGAAATGGGTAAAGTTCTTATTTTTTAAATATGGTTTTCCTAAATGAAGTTTTCTTAGTTTCATAGGTTAATTTATTTGACATAAACCTCTGCATTTAGGTAGTCGGAGAGAGACTCAGCTAGCTAGTGAAGTCATGGGAAATGGCGGCTGTGTGGTTGTTGAAGCATCAACCATTAATTCTTTCATTTGTTTGTGATGGTAGAGAAAGGCATTTGAAGAAGAGCGAGCCAGTTGGTTAAAGCAACAGTTTTTAAATATGACTACCTTTGACCACCAGAACTCAGAAAATGGGAGACTTTTCAGTGCCTTCCCAGGAAGTGAGTACTTCATACACTCTTTAATCTGAGCATGCCTTTAAATGAAATACAGATTATTAATATAAAACTTTAGAGATCTCCAAGATGAGGTCTCTTCCTGGAACTATAGATCAACTGTAATATTTTTATTTCCTGGAGTAAAAATGAGGGTGACAGGAATACCAAGCATACCAAAAGTAACATTTGTTGAGAAAATACCAACTTTTTGTACATTCACAATTTGGAGATACTATTTTTAAAAGAAATTCCTCTTGAAGTCTTGCAGAATATGCAACACAGATAACAAGTTAATTTGTTCTATTATACTTCACTCAGAATTCAAATAAATCTTAGTTATTTATTTTCACTGTTTTTAATACTTTGCCATATATACTGCTTTTTCCCCACTTGTCTTTTTGTTTTTGTTTTTAAACAGGTTCTGATCAAGACAATCTTATAGTGCACTCAGGGCCACTGCAAAAGAAGCCTCACAGTGTGCCTCATGGGTCTCCAATTTGCACATCTAAAATGACCAAGTCTCTGCCTGCTTCTCCCACTTCAGACTTTTGCCAGACACGTTCCTGTGTCTCTGAACATAGGTATTTCTTCATACTTAGTCTTTATACTTATTTCTACAAATTGCTGACTTAGCCTCTGCTGAGGGAAAGTTGACATATTTATAGTATTTGAAATAGTGGAGGCTTTGGAGAGGAATTTAGTAGATTGATTTATGCAATCTATGATACGTGTTAGATGTCCAGGGTAGATCTCGTGCCATCTGGGCATATAGCAATGATGAGGTAGGTGTGGTCCCTGCTCTGCGCTAAATCATGTCTTTTTGTTTCATATTTAAAATATAGTCTTATTGCTGGCATCACTTACTGATGTAAGTACTTCATGTTAAATATAAAGATGTTCTTTGCATGTGTTTTGTAAGATATATTGAAGTTTTTTCTGGCATGCCTATTTCACTAGCATTGAAGGGCAAAGAACTGAGAAGGGCCTGTGCATCTTGAGTGATGAAAAAGATCTGTGCCCAAGGGTAGCAGTGTAAAAGAAGTTGCTCCTTACCCCCTGGAAACCCGTAGTACAGTATTAGTTGCTGCATTTTGCTAATTTCCTCTCTCAAGTTGTTAAATCATTTCTGAGATGTGCTATCAACATTGTACCTCAGATCCTGTTCCAAGATTAACTTTGAATTATGCAGAGCAAACAGAATTCCTAGTGTGGTAGCAAGGAATAGGAAAAGTGAAAGGGTTGAGTTTGGAAGTGCGATGGTCATCTTAAAGTAGCACACAGTAGCCTGAGGCCTGGCAATGTGGCACGTGTGTAGAAAGCAAGAGTTAGAGCTGTCACATATTTGGCCTGTGCTTGAGAGAAAGTGGTTTGGAGCTATATGTTGAAGAGACCCGCTGGCCTTTGGGCCAAGAGTAGCTTAATAGCTGGATTTTAAAACAAGAAAATAAAGATTTTTAAAAGGAGAATAAGGCTTGTAATTTATAGACTTTGAAAGGGTTGGAGATTTAGGACTATAAACAATAGGGAGCAACAAAGAGCTGGGTAAGAGGACTCCAGTCAAGCATGGGTCCCTGAGCTGGGACATACATGGGACGTGCACTGGCCAGTGCAGTTAGTGAGCAAGACTGAGAGGCATGATAATAAGGATGGAGTGGCGTAAAAGTAGCAGTTGTACAAATACAGAGAAAACAAGTATGAGCCACTCTGTGCCACTGGGGCCAGCAGTTATTGAACTCATGATCAGTATTCTTCATATGTAACTCTGCTCTGCTGCTCCCCACATTCACATTTGGAATTTCACTCTTAAAATATTTTTGTCTTGCTTATTTTATTTTGTTTTGTTTGCGGTGCTGGGGTTTGAACCCAGGGCCTTTGTGCTAACCTACATTCTCAGGGTATGGGAAGAGGGTCTTGCTGTGTCACCACGTTCCCCAGGCTGCAGCTCAAAACTTCTGACCCTCCTGTCTCAGCTTCCCAGAGTGCTTAGGATTACCAGCATGTGCACCACTCTTTGTGTTTGTCCATCCAGTGTTGCTTAAGGGGCAGTGGACAAGTGTTAGACATTTTTAAACAAAAGAGTGAGGAAGAAAACTAAATTTTAGTAAGTGCCCTGTTTTCTTATGTGGCAAATTGATTGTAGGAGTCAGTTATATAGGCCAGGAGATCCAGTTAGGGAAACATTTTAACAAATTAGATAAAAGTCCAACATTTAGTATCTACATTTCAGAGTATTGAAGGCTCAGTGAATAATATGTAAAGAACTTAAACACTGTTTGGTGTATTGTAAACATTCAATGACAGCAAAAATAAACACAAATATATCATTAAAATGTTCTTTTGTTTCTTGTATTTTAAGGGCTACTCTAACAATACCAGTGGCATAGAAACAGGTTTGGGAGCTTGAAGGAACTCTGTTAAGCCTATTCTGTTCTTGGAGAATATAACAGAAAAGAGTAAAAGCAGTGCAACTTGGTGGTTTAGTTTTAAATTATTTTATAAATTTGGTTCTGTTGCACCTGAAGCACCTTGGATTCAGCTCATAGTAAAATTACAGCAAGATAATTCAGAGTATTTATAGCTGGATTCCACAAGATCCTCAATGCTGCCTCACTGTAGAACAGAATTTTATATAAAGGCTGTGTCTTGGATTCTAGTCAGGATAACTTGTGTACTAGTCATGGAACTGGTTTATCACTTATCTCATCTGAGATACCTCAGAGGTGTAGGGATTCTGAGCTGAGGACAATTATAAACGAGTTTTCTTTCTTTTTGTTAGTACTGTATTGGTAAATAAGTGTAAATAAAATTAAGTTATTGGTTTCAATTTTGGAATTAAAAAAGACTTAATGTTTTCTAGGTTTGCCATGTTATACGGTCTAGTTGGTAAAGAAAAGTCACAAGAATGTATATATTTAGAAAAGTTTTTGTGAAAAAAATTACAAAAGATACTCAAATGATAAGTTTATTATTCATTGGTTCTGCTCCAGATTTAAAATAATCATTTAACCAGGTCTCTTCATTTTGAGGCTGGTCAAACTTTTATCTAGCTTCATTTTCTGTTCTCTTAACCACTTTTGTAAGCATTCATTAAATATCTGAGTGGAGAGATGAGAGCACGCACCAACAAATGGACAAGAAAATAAGGAAACCATAAGGACAGTAGAAAATAGTGATAGGAGACGTGGGACATTAGCATTGAACACCCACATGTTGTCTGCCTTAAGCTTCCCTTGGCAGCATGTTGCAGAGTAGACTAGAGGGCTAAATACAATAAATAGACAAATAGGAACATAGATGATTAGATAGGAGTTTTAGCCTAAGCCAATTTGAAAGTCTTCATAATGTTCTTGATTTATGTTTCTTCAGAATTTACTTCGCACAAGGCACGGGGACTTGTAGACATTAGACATTCAGGCATAACGTACAGAAGAAGGTGGGGATAATTGTTAAGCTCTACCTTTCTTTTCCCAACAGTTCAGTCAGTGTGCTGAATATAACTCCTGAAGAAATGAAACCAAATCAGGTCGGAAGAGAATGCAGCAGTCAGACATGGAGTGTGGCATCCAGGCCTAGATCACAGCAAGGTTGCTACAGTGGCTGCTCTTTGACTTATACAAATTCTCATGTAGAAAAAGATGACTTACCTTAGATGTGTGGATGGGAACTTTTTTTCACTAACATTCATCCAGTTTGCTTCATCTAAGTTGAAACAGGGTGTGTCATAAAGTGAGTCATCTCTGATAATTTTAAGAGTGGTCTGAGTTGTTTGTTTGGACTTCCCTGTCTTCCCCCAAAGAGCTGAAATGCTAAATCTATTTAAGAGGATATAAAAGCTTTGGATGTGTATTTTTGGTAATAGAAGCATCTGGCTCTGTGAATAAAGGAATGTATAGAGGTTTGGATGGAAGCAAGCACTAGAATGAGTTTCCTCTTTATAGGCATTTAAAATAGCACTTTTAGGAAACTGATTATTGTAAATGTTTAATTTTGTCCCAAATATAGTTGGCATTGGAAGTTTAGCCTTTACTTGAATATATACTGTAGATTTTTAACAAAGCAAGTTCTATATTTATTATGTTTAGTGTGATTTTGGAATTACCTCTTTCATATGTTTTAAATAAAGTAAATTTTATGTGTTTTGTACATAAATATACATGATTATGTTAAGAGGCTTTAAGACTTAAAAATTTCACACAACCATAACTATAGCATTTAATGCCAATAAAATGTTTTTAGTGATATTCTGTTTATAGATATATTAGGTAGTACCACAGTACATTTCAATTTTTTTAAATCCACCTGGGCAGTAAATATTCAGTTATTCCATGAAGCCAAGTTATTTAGAAAATCAGCATACTTACATTACATTTTTGAGACTTTTTACAGCATTAGATTTTTATTTTATATATGTAGAATATTATAATTTGTAAAAGGACTATTGATTATAGAGTAATAGGGACAAGACAACTAAAGTACCTTTGAATAGCAATTTAAGAACATTGGTTTAAGGTATTCGGATTATAAAAAAAAAAGATGTCTGGGTGGTGATATTTTCCTTATCATATGGGTACCAGTACAGTAATATCTGTACCAGCTAGGGCTTAATATCATTGCCAATAATTTTAAAATATTTTTTCAATTAAATATTTACCATTAATGTTAAAGAAATATGACAATGTAAAAACATCAGATTTTATAATGCAGATATGATACTCTGGACAATCTTGTATCACTCATTTCATTTTCAGAACCATCTTAGGCTGTTTGGCTCTGTAATGTTTCTAACTGCATGTTTCCTCATGAAAAGTGTGTTATTGATAGTAGTAAATGCTAAAAAATATAGGTCAGGCTCTTCCCCGAGATTTTCATCGGAAAGCTTTTAAGTGCCTAACTCTGCTTGTCTGTACATAGAAACCCACACAGGTCCAGTCCTTGTTAGGTGCAATAGTTTGGTTCCATCTGCCTTCTCTTTTCCATTAGTTCAACCACTTACGTACACTCACCCTGATTGCAGCTGCCCCCCCCCGCCTCTTTGTGTCATCTGCCTGGTGTATGTGACTCTTCGAAGTTGTGAAGCAGCAGCCATTTCCCCAAGGCTGAGAGGTTATCACTGAAGTGTTGCAGGAGACATGAATGAGTATCTGCCTACCATAACCAGATTTGTAGTCTCAAAAAGAGCTGGCTCTGGAATGTTAGTCACTATCTTCAGCTTAATGCATGGTCACATGTTTAAAATACTAAAAATGTTAACATACTTTCAGAGTACTACATTCCAGAGGAAGGAACTTAGCTGGGACATTATTATTCTTTTGCTATTTTTCAATAATGTGGTTGAAGAAAGGCAATCAGAAATTATAAAGAGAGTTATGATAGATTTGTCAAGACTTTCTCCTAGGAATTTACTTTATCAGAAGCAAATATTCAAGTTTGATAAAAGTCTTTTACTTTTTTCTTTGTTTTTTGGTACCGGTGATCGAACTCAGGTCATTGCATTTGCAAGGCAGGCGCTGGAACCACTGAGCTAAATCCCCGGCCCACTCTTTTACTTTAAAATAATATTCCATGAGGATAGATTTCTAGAAAGCAGTATTTTTTTGTTGTGTGTTTCCATTTTAAAGTGGGTTAAATTCTCATATTAAAAACACCCCTTGAGCCTTTTGAAATCTCAACTGTGAAACAATAAAAATGAAAATCCCAGATTTATTGTGCCTTTGATGTTTGCATAGATCTGCTAGAAGTTCCAATTCTAAATATGTTCCAGTTCTACAGTGATCCTAATCACCTGAACTTAATTGTTTCCTTCTTGCAAAATCCCTGAATCTACACACAAACTGCCAAGATTTTCTCTTCCTTTTTTAAGGATTTACTGGGTACTAATAATAGCAGCTGTGCTGCGGTCTAAACATTTAGCTGTGATTAAATGACGTTGCTATCAGTTTGAAAGCCCTTCTGATAATCTTCAGTGTTTTCTTGCTTATCAGTACGTAAATCTGAAATATTTTGTCTCATTTGTTTTTATGGGACATAGACATTTTGAATTTTCAAAGCAGAAGTGTCAAAAATTGAGATAAAAATTTCCTACTTTTAAATGCATCTGTGTTTTACAGTGATGGGAACTTAATAGGAATTGATGGCACCAGAAAAATCATGACTAAAATTCCGTAAGTATTTTCTCATAGAAGCAATATACTAAGTGATTACAGTCACAAGGCAGCCCACAGCAAATTGTTTCATGATATAATTGAAATGTTGTTTGGAAAGAATTGTCAGTACACTTGTGATAACATGTTTTTTTATGGGAAAACATTCTGTGGTACATGATGAGAAGGACAATCCCTGAAGTCCAGTCTGGACCTCCCCTGGCTGGGGGCATTTGAAAGCCCTGGATCCCCGGAAGGCTTGGCTTGTGCAGTGTGTATGCTGGGGTGCTGTGAATTAACAAGACTGTCTGTGATTGCTCTCTTGTACAGATCTTCAAAGTATACTTCCCAATGTAAACCATGTTCTTATTTCTAAAGTGGATTTTAATTAAGTTTGGATCATGGAACTCTAGTAAATGTGCTTTTCACTATGTTTATCTGTACTGTTTTTCATCCTTTTCTGATAAACATTTATGAAGCTCCTCCCAAATGTCAAGAGTATATAGCTTTGTGATCCCTGGGAATAAGAAGACAAGCACACTGCCTGCTGTTGAAAACTGCTGAGTGGAGTGAAAGACCAGCCTGGAAACCCAAATTGAAATAAACAATAGTAGCTGCTATCCACAAGTGCGGTCAGTTCATAAAATGTGGGCTGACAGTTCTCTCCCAGGGTCACATGGCCACCTCAAAGCAGTGACATTGCTAGGCCTTCTGCTGAGGTTTAGTGTTATTTCCCATGGGAAGAACTATATAATAAATTGTTTTGCTGGGTGATGTTTTTCACAAAATGCTGAGATAGTACGGGGTTTTCCTCCCCAAGTAGACTTGCTTGTTGTCCAATAGAGCATTTGCAAACATTGGGCCATGCAGATAAGAATAGCGAGATAGGTTACCCTACTTCTTTTTCTAAATAGAATATATATTTTTTCCTCCTCCAGGATGGGTATAAATTAAAAGTGGAATGGACTTTATTATTTTTTATTTAAACGCTTGGATTTAGTTGAAGTTTTAAAAACTTATAATGAAGTTGATAGCAATCAAGAAATACTGTAATGCCCAGGATACATGAAGACCCACTTCAATATTCATAATTCAGAAGTGCTCAGTGTAATGTTTAACACATACTGAGGACTATACAACAAAATACTGAGGAAATTTAAAAAGTACATTTGGGTTAGAGTCTTGAAACAACTTTTGCAAGATGGTAGGAACTTTATTATTGTTTCTAACCCTTTGTCACTTGGTTTCTCTTTCTAGAAGAGGTCATGCTACAAGAACCAAACTTTAAAGTGATGTGACTTACTATCAGAGTTCAAATCTTGCTGGGCACAGTGACACCTGTAATCCCAGCACTCTAGGAGGCTGAGGCGGGAAGATCAATTTCAAGCTCAGCTTTGGCAACTTAGTGACTGTACAGAGACCCTGCGTCAAAAAGTAGGAGATGCTTGCTTCGGCAGCACATATACTAAAATTGGAATGATACAGAGAAGATTAGCAAGGCCCCTGCACAAGGGTGACACGCAAATTCGTGAAGCGTTACATATTTTTTAAAAAATAGACTAGAGGTTTAGCAGAGTGCTCCCTGGGTTCCATCCCAAGCAGCACTACCGAAAAAACCCATTTTCACCTAAGCCATGTGGAACACGTCCCCTGAGTTCCACACCAGAGAAAGCAGACTGGTGGGTAGTGTGCACACCTGAGAGGGAAGCTGTAGCCTTGTCACAAGGTGGGAGGGGACAATGTGCAGCTCTTCAGTGAGCACTGGCGGTGTGGATGATGTAGATATTTCATCCATTTATTATGAAAATGATAAAACAGCAAAAGGGTTATTAGTGATTTTTAGCTTTAGATGTCCTTGAGCTTTGACAGGAATGTATCTAAAGTCTATTGTTAACCTTCTTCTGCCTTTTTATAATAGGAAATTTCAGAATGTCCAAATGGTAGTTTTACCCATTAAAATATCTTTCATTGCACAGAACACATTTTCTTTGATTGTTTTAATCCGGTGAGAGAGAATATTTAACCTCCCTACTTTTAAAGAGTTGATAATAGGCATTGATGGATGAACCCAAGGTCACAAGCTAGTAAATATTAAAGTTAGAATTTAAACACTCATATCTTGTGATTTCTGAATTTTTTCATCCTATTTCACACCATGGCAGTGCGTGCTGGTGAAGCTTTTTATGTGAAATTGTTCAATTATTAACCCATTAGCTGCCACCTATAATCTTCAACACCGGAGCACCCAAAGTAGTGACCAGTTGGTGCATGTGTATAATTCGTGTGTGTGACTGGTTACCACGACAGCTGTTTGGGGTTGGCCCTCAGTCTTTTGGAGATGAGGGCATTACAGATCTAATTGAGGTAGCTGTTGTGATAGTTTACAGGCTGTTGGATAATGGGAAGATACATGCAGGCAGTCTGTCTGCTCTGTCCAGACTGCTCCTGACCTGCCTTTGACCACTAGGTGGTTAGTACATCCCTCTGCAGCCACAGTCATAAGTGGCCAGAAACTTCATTTTGTCCTTTCTTTTCATGATAAAAAGAAATAAGGTGTGAGAATTTTTACTCAATTTGAGAAGAGCTGCTTGTAGAGCAGCCGGAGCTGCCCTCGCTTCCCTGCTGCATGTGCATTTGGACATTCAGTCTTATTTCTGCTCTGTCAAGACAGCTCCATCCCTACATGTCGTGCTTCATTGAAACCACCCAGCCCTGGTACTAGGAAAAAAGGAACTGTTGTGCCAGTTAAGTCACATATAACAAAACCTGCCCTCCATTCTTGCTGCTTGGATCCAATTCTCTTAAATATGATGCCAAACTGAGATGGTCAGTTGTTCACCCCACCCATGCATGAGGTCAGACATCCATGCTCCCTCAGTACAGACTGCTTACCCTGGACTGCCATAACCAGCTTTCTGAGTATGGGTGCTACTTGCTTATGATATTTTTCCTACCTACATTGACTTTTTTTTCTTCTAAATGTACAAACCTAGAAAAACTTAGTTACTTTTCTCATTGCTGAGACAAAAATACATGGCATCCAAGTTAAAGGGGGAAAAGTTTATTGTTCGCGGTTTGTAGAGGTTTCAGTTCATAGTTGGCTGGCTCCAAGGAAGGGTGGCATGGCAGAGGAAAAACAGTTCATGGCAGGCAGGAAGCAGGAAGGCACCAAAGTAGCAAGCGGCAACAACCGCCCTCTTTCTGTCCTTTAATATCCAGGCTGCACGTCCTTAGGGCTGGTAGTATACCCAGGGCAGACCTTCCCATTATCCACACTATGCCAAACCATCAGTAGACTAATTTAGTAATCACACACCCTCAATCCCAGCATGCACTATAGATCCAGCCACCTCTGTGATAGCATACCGTTTTAGGGGGACCTCCAGATACAAGCCATAACAAGACTCAGAATAAACATGTCTGTGCATGTCTAAATTTTTATTAGTGAAAAGGTTCAATCAAATGGAATTCTCAAAGTCATCTAAAAGTACAATGCTTTTGTGAAGTATCAAGATTTAATTACTTTTAGTCTCATCTTGAAAGGTAACTGTGATTCACATTTTTAAATTTTTCAACCAAGAAGTACTAAATACTGAAAAATTGTCTAGTTGATCCCAGTAAAATCAAATTTTCCCAAAATTTTTTCAGATTCTATGATAATACCCCAAATAAAGAGAAATCCAACCAGCCACATACTCTTGACGTATTCTAGAATAAACTACTTAGATCTTTTTTAAAAATTGAAAATTTAACTGGAATATGAAAAATAAACTTTGCTATTATTTCTGAAGCAATATTGACCATTTTTATCAAGGGCAAAGACCTGGACACACATAATTTTAAATTAGGTTTAAATTTAAACCAAATTCATTTAAATTATTTGGCAACTTACCAGAGCTTATGGCAAATCTCACAGGTGTACTCTGGCCTTCGCAGTGAGGGCCAGGAAACAGTCATATATCCTAATAGTCATTGGTGGGGTGATGTACAGAAGTCTGGGAGAACACATTCCTCTTGGCTCAAGAATCTGTTGCTCTGGGCCTGGAAACTTCACGTTTTCTAGACCCCAAAGCTCTGCATAATGATTTTGCTAATTACAGCTCTGGTGACTATAAATTGTTGAATGGGGGAGCTATTCACGATTGGGCCTCTTACTATGGATATAAACTAGGAGAAATAGTCGCCCTGGGTATGACACAAAGCCATCTCTGAGTAAGCAATAGTATGATTTGAGTTTAAATCATTGTGTCCTAACCCCCCCCCCACAAAAAGCTTTCTTTAATGCATGTCTCAGGCATAGTTCCTGAAACATACAATCTGTGGTCTGTCTGAATGCACAGCTCTCCTGTAAACCTTGTTTTCTAAATGCAGTGCAAAACCTCAGAAATACTGATAAAGGGAACAATTTAAATGTAATGTAAAAATGTCCTTTGCTTATGTGAATGTCTTCTATGAGAAACAGTAGGCAAATGCAACAAATTACACCCAGTCGAACCAAGCTGAGTAGGAACACATGTATCTTGAGTGTCTTCCCGCTTCCTCAGTTTACCACATGTGTCATAAACTACACACATCCCTATCTCTCTTCAGGTCTCAGGTGCCTCTCTTGCCACCATGTCGTAAGCTGTAGCCTCCCACACCTACTTCCACCTACTTCCTACTTGATCTCTTTCAAGGTGAAGTATATATATTGTGCTTTTAACCATTTAACATGTCCAAAATGCTATAGTTTTTATTTTTTATGAGTCACTGATGAAATTGAGTGTTATGCCCCATGTGCTCTATGATTTCATTGTGCATATTGTGATTTTTAGGAACATATTTAATATGCTGTATTTAAAGCAGAACTGATGGAAAAAGCAGCTTTATGTGATCTGTAATCCGATCAAATTATGATGGGTGACAGAAACTTTGAAGAGTCTAAAATGCATTGCCCCCTAGCTGTGCCAGGCTGTGCCGTCCCAAGCATTAATAAGCAAGTTCTTGTTCTCCCAAACACCGTATGACTACTCTGCATCACTTCACAGATGGGGAAACTGCCACCAAGAAAAGGGAAAATAACGTGCTCTACTCCATACAGCTCGTGTATGGTGCGGCTGACATTTGAACATCAGGAATTGTATTAAGATGATGGTATATTTTCTCTTTAACCAGATGAACATTCTCTTTAGTACCAATTTAAGTGTAAATTGTAAGAAATCTATAAAGATTTCTTGATTTTTTTTGTACTGCGGGATCGAGCCTAGGGCCTTGCTCTAGCATTCCATCACCGTCCCCCCTCTGATCCTTGTGGACAGGCAATGTACTGCGGGATCGAGCCTAGGGCCTTGCTCTAGCATTCCATCACCGTCCCTTCTCTGATCCTTGTGGACAGGCAGTCATCTATTTGGTCTCCGAATTGAACCTCCCTACTTAGTGAATGTTGATTGAATACCTCTTGGGATTGCTGTGCCCGGTGCTGGGTCTCTAACATCGAAGGTGGCTTGGACGTTGTCCTCAGACACTAACAATCCACCACTGGGAACAAGTACACAGGCAACCTAAGGCAGCTGTTACGCGCCCTGAGGAAGGTGTTAGAGTGCTTTAAGATCAGAGAAGTGGGGATCGTTGGGGATCTTCAGTTCAGTATGGAAGAGTGAACATTCCAGGGAGAGGGAACAGAACATTGGAGGTCAGAGGTGGAGCCACATGACCTTTAAGGAAATGCAAATGGCCAGAATGAGGATGCAGGAGGCCGGTGTGTAGGCTGTGGCCTGGCTAAAAGGATTATGGATAAAAGCGATTTTGAATTTATCCTGAAAGCTTGATGATGCTGTTGAATAATTTGAGCACGAATGTGATGTGAGAAAACTGTTCCCACTCCTTGCTGTACTCCTCTGTTAGAGCATTTACTACAAATGCCTTAATTGTATACACTTTTGTCAGCGTTTTTCTCAGTTCTGAGTTCTAACTGGAAGCTGTTTGGAGCATTGCTGGAAGGAAAGCAAAATAGAGAGGAGACCAGGTTGCAGCAATCTAAATGATCGGTGAGAGGTGGGGGCAGATTACAGCAGACCCTTGAGTTATGACCAGCCTGACAGATGAACAGCTTAGGTTATGACTGGAATTTTAGTTTTAACTTATGACCAAAGTCTTGAGTTATGACCCAAACACCAGGTACTTGTGCTTCTAGATGGTCTCAGATACAGATTGAACCTTTAAGGAGTTTTGGAAGGAACATGACAACATCTTTTCCTATGTGGGGTTAATTGAGAAATCCAGGGCCAATGTCTTTGGCTTTGAAGACTCTGCAGACAGGCCTGAGCCTTCAATTGACCAATTTGATTTACAACCAGTTCGTAAGTCAAGGGTCCACTCTACAGGTAGACTCATTGGATGCTGGAGTTGAGTGAAACAATCTAGTCTGGTTCCTGGTTTGAGCAGTGGGGGACAATAAAGTTGAAGGCAAAACAATCTTGAGAATTGGGCAGGAAGTAGTTCACCCAGCAGACAGCACCTTATATCCAAGAAGCAGCTGCCTTTGGGTCCAGCCCTGCAAGCTCTTGGGAAATAACCTCTGATCTTTGGCACGTTCTGCCTATGAGTGCTTCTGTATGCCTTGGGCCTTGGGTCATGATCTACCATGGCAACTAGCTAAGTTTATCCTAACAATGTGACTTTCAGTGAATGCCTCTTGCTACTTTGGAACTGGAATCTGAGCAGCTGATGTCAGTCATGGATGGGTTCTGCACACCTTCCCGACTGACCCCTAACAAAAAGACATCATGTGTCCTTTCGCTATGATGATTCATAGCCAAGAACACAACAGTTCTGAGTGTCAAGAGTCCTTC